AGGAACGAAGTGAGCCCTTTTAAAGATAGGGATAACTATTGACTCATTCCACGATGTTGGAACACTAATTGCTAGACCTTTTCAAATAACTCAGTCCGTTCCATAACCAGAGGGTCGTCACCATCTTTAAAATGGGTCGAAGGCAAGTCGTCTGGGCTTGGTGATTTGTGGCGCTCCAAGAGTTGAAGTTCTTTGTGGACTCCCGCCTCGTTTGGTCGATCAGTTGTCACAGGCCATAAGGGGCTGAACGGTCTGATCGATGTTGCTGGAGAAGCAGACCAGCCGAACTGCTCCACGAAAAACTCTTCGCATCATCCAAGACGTCGGTAAATGTTTGTGACTGGCATTCCGTCATCTTCGCAGATTGTTCCACTCACGCTAGACTTCTTACTGTCAGTGACTCGGATGAGTTTAAAGAGCTCCCGGCGGTTACTGGAAGCAGCTGCTGCTTACAACTCGTTGGCACGCTCCAACCACCAGGCTTCTCGGTCCTTACGCAAGCTTTGGACAATTCCATTACGTAGCGGTCTTCGTTTACATTCAAACTCGCGGTCACCTGGAGTAGACTGACGTGCTACAATAAGTTGTAAGGACCCCGAAGAAAACCAGTGCTTATAAGCTGGACGTTTCGCGAAGCCGCAAGCGACTTTACTTGCCATTTCCATGCCATCATGCAATTGCAACCAATGCTCATCCATACTTTTCTATGGGATGTTAGCTAGTGTTGAACCGAGCTCAGTTTGATATGTAGTTGCAACAGAAGCTGCTACCAATTTACTGACATCAATTCGTTTAGGACTATGAATGTGTTGGCTACTGGAACGTAAGGTAAGATTAGCTCAAACAAGGGCATGATCAGAGTCCAGAAGGGTACTCTAAAAGGAGAGACAGTCTTGTACATAAACACGCCAGCGTTAGCTGATCCCGATGTAATCAATCCGAATCCAGATTTGAGATGCAGAGGGAGGACCACAGGTAGCCAGAAACATTGTGGTTTGTGCAAAGTTATAGTAGACGGTCACTGTTATCTGACTTGCGACCAACAAGTTCCCGTCGGCCACCTAAACGATCCTCTCCTATGCTTAGACACCCGATCTGAGCATTCAAGTCTCCGGCTAGTACTGCAAAATCTGGCAAACTCATCCTTGATCGCATCCGGGCTGCACTCTGTGGGAGCGTAGGCGATGATGAAAAGATATTGTCTCTAGTACCAGTTTTTTCACACTTTAATGGGGCTTTTGAATCTAACAGCACATAACGGACTGTCAATGTGGATCCAATCGATCAGTGGTCTCAGCTCTAGCGCTTAATGCTACACCAACACCAACAAAACCAGACGAAAATGCAAAATGCTACCCGGATAAACGCACGTAAAACAAGCTTTTCGGAGCGATAGATGGAGAGCAAATTTGTAGTACTTCACGAGAGTCTTGAATACAGGTTTCAGATAGACAACATTTATCGATGTTGAGGCTTTCTAAAGACATAGCCAGCCCTATCTGTTATCCAATCTGCCTTAGTGTGCGAACGTTGAAGGAGACCATCTTGAATGGTATACGTGGTTTCAGAAAAACTGTTTCAGTATTCGTAGTCAGTGATAGCATTCAACTTCCCACCAGTCAGTGACTTAAGATCGTTTAGGTAGGACAGAGTTTCCACCACAGGCGAGCTGCTAAGTTGAAAAATAAAAGAATACATAAAATGAGCATAAATATGAGTAGACAAATGACGTATTATAAAAAAATAAAAGGGAATGTTGTCAAATTACCGTGAATGTGATTTATCTGGATGTGAGTTGCAGCAAGAATAATTTTTCCATTAGTAATCCTCATTCGATCCGTGTAAGAGCTGGGATACTGCCCGGAACTGTCATCAGGATTTATTACCTCAAGTGGTATTCGTCAGGGCTGTCCACTCTCACTCCATTCTTGTTTAGCTTTATCGTAGACGTGCTTTTAGAAATAATACTTTCCTCATCCAAATTTAGAGGGGTTAAACTTCTACCAGGAGACTCACCTGTTGACTTTAAATACGCCGATGACATAGTTCTATTTTGTGAAGACGCTGACAAAATGCAAAGTCTTCTGACCACTATAAGCAACAATGCAGGCATGTTCGGGATGCGATTCTCCCCCTCGAAATACAAAATGTTAATTCCGGATTGAGTTGCATCGATACCTGAACTAGTGATAGGGAGTGAAGTAGTTGAGCGTGTCGACCGCTTTACCTATCTTGGCAGTCTCATCATCCCTTATGGTCTGGTGTGTGATGAAATCTCAGCACGGATACAGAAGGCTTATCTAGCTTTCACCAACTTGCGTCATTTGTGGCGTAGGCGAGATATCCATCTAGCAACCAAAGGACGGGTTCACTGCGCAGCAGTTCATTCCGTCCTACTTTATGACAGTGAAACATGGCCGGTAAGAGTAGAGGATATTCGTAGGCTACTAGTATTCGATCATAGGTGTCTTCGAAGCATTGCTCGTATATCCTGGGACCACCGAGTAAGTAATGCAGTTGTTAGGAAACGGGTACTAGGTAGGGATGGCAAATCGATTGATGAAGTAGTGACAAGTCACTGACAATTGAAATGAGCCATGTTGGTAGGTGTAGACTGCCTGGTTGGGATCCGCGAGATGATAACAACCGATGGTTTGAGACGTTGAATGACATGGCTCAAAATCGTTTGCGATGGTGAAGGTGCATCCACTCTTTGTGTTCTGCCAAATTCTAATCTTCTGAATTCTTCATGTTCCTATCTTTTTTCTCTTTCTAAATTTATTTACTGGATTATACTCCTTGAGTAACATCTTCAAACCTTAGTCTTTCTGATTACTGCTTATACTTTTACTATCTCTACCACTATGGGATTTGAATCGCCAACTGGATCTCTGTGCTAATATGGTATGGCAACTCGAACGGATGTACGTACATACGAAGTTCTACGTTGTGACTGACTGACTGAGGAGATGCAGTCCCATGATAGCTAGCGATCAACAATAGGTTAATGCTCAATTTGTTCCCTCAGGCGCCTTCAGGACATTGCTGACGTGGCATGGAACCACCGAATGAACTGTGTCGGGGTTATAATCATAAGTTACTAGGCAAAGGTGGCAAATCACTTGTTGAGGTCGTAATTCTTAACCTAACTAAGGAGTTTGGACATGGTTTACGTGTCCCTAACTACTTCCTGCCTTCATCAGCAACGCTTGTTAGTGTAGAAGTAAATTGGAAGAAAGTTAGGGGCTGCCAAAGCAATTTGTGTCTCACTTCACGAAGTTATTAACTATTGGTCTGAGTCATCTTGGTAAACAGAGACTACGCGGTTCACGTGGTGGTGACCAATAGTTGGTGACTTTGGGTAACATGACCCAGAATCGTTCACAGTTGAGCAGATGTATTCACACATTTTCTTCCTTTACACCTTGCTACCACATTACACATATCACTTTGGTTATTTATATTGTTATATTCACTTCATCTACTAATGTGGAATAGCAACTTGTACCAACGTACATCTATACCGATCTCTGTGTTGATGTCTGTCTGGTCATAAAGAGTTTAGTGTTCATTCAGTCCTAAAAACTACTATAATGATTATTTATTTAATTAGTATGTAGGTGTATAATTGTAAATTGCAGAGTTAAAAACAAATATTCTTGGAGACAACTCATGATTGACTTCTATAATTTATTCTGTAAATCCAATTCTCATACAACCACGCAAATATTGACCATCAACACTAATTCAATTTCGTTTCCAGGTCCTCCAACAAAAAAGTATTTTCCCAGTGTGAGAGGCTTGGATATTTTAAGTGTCTACATGCTTTCAATTGTGCTCAAACTCTCTCTGTTTATTGTCAATCATTTTTGAATCCTAGATTTTGTCATATTGTTGTAGATTCCGCTCCATTGACAACCAATGTTAACAATTTGAGTTTAAGAAAACACCTCTATCTCCTGTAACTACTTTAGATTTTGTGCTGGGGTTTTCAGTGTTCTAACTCTTAATCAATATATAGAAGTAAACAGTCATTTTTTTTATCAATTAAGTAACTTAATGTATTGACAGTCGGTGAAACAGTCTAAAAAATAGACTTATGAGCTATCGTCAATCGGCTAGCCGTAGGGTGGGGGCAATTTTGCGAACTTCCATCCAGTACGGACCAATTGCTTGAACAGGTTACTGGCACTCGGCTTACAACTTTAAGCGAATTATAATAAGCTCTATTTAACTATGATTAGAGGAGAAACAATAAACCCTGTCTAGTTAATTCCTTGGGTACCTAAGGTTGGTTGTTCAATATCTATTAAACCAGTTGGAAGACGTATTGCTTAACTAACTAATTAGGTGCAGTTCTGTTGTTCTGGCTCAGGTATCTGATCTCTTTTCACCTCGCATTCAATACTGTGGTCTAACAAGTTTTTACCATAGTTGAGGTGGTTATCGAAGCCTTGGCAGAAAGTTAATTTACGTACTACTTTCAGTTGTCTTCCATTTTGAATCCTGTTTTCACAAGTACTAAAATCAGTCAATAAAAGAGCTAGTTTATGAAATGAGCTTGTATGAAAAAATACATCAGGATGTTAGTGACTTTTGGCTTACCGTAAATCCTTAGTTGGCAGCGAAACAACTATTTAATTCAAATATCGCCTGAAACATTAATTAAGGCAGTTCTGTAAAGGTTTTGTTATTTTCTGTCAAAGAATTAAGATTCTACCTTTGATTAAAAAGTCTAACTTGGTACTGCTACTGTTTCAATCACTTGCAGTAATAGTTCATTTGTAATAATCACTATTATTTTCCTTTCTCTGAAAACTTCCATTTTGTGTTGTTCACAATTTCACATTGTTCCATTATACGAATCTACTTTTTAAGCCAGTCTGAACAAAAAGTTGTCCCCCTCACTAATTTGTTTGATAAGTTTTCTTCAAAAACACATCGTTTTCTGAAATACAGAACTTCATTAATTCTATAATCGTTTCCTGAATTTTACTCAGGTGGCAGAAGAAAACAGTCTTGAAGTTTCACATGCTATTGCAGATGCTCCTGTTGTTGGTGGTACACTTTCCGTTAATTCAGAGTCATCTAGGGATGCTGAAGATGACGCTCTTACAAGAAGGTTAGTTGTATACTTGTGTAATATTTCTCACACTAGCCGATATAAACCTATCCAGCATTCGCATTATGTACATAACTATATGTTTTCAAATATGGTCGTATAACTTGTGTAGTGGGCCACTACTAAGTGTTCACAGAAATATTTTCGAGTGACCTTATCTTTCAGGCTTAAACCACTTGCGGGATGTCTTATAATTATTCGTCACATCAGTCGTTGTTGATAAAATTAAGCTTTATCAAATTTTACTTGAAAATGTCATTTGATGTTTATTAGATGGATGTATTTTGCCTACACAAAACCGTATAGTACATTAGTTTTTGTTCATGAAGAATGATTTTTTATATTCTTTTGACTACGAGTTGATTAAAGAAAGTCATAGCAATTATTTCACCTCTCAATTTTAATCTATACTTAAGAGTAACATTATATAATATTCATTTGTACTTGGATTGCTAATAGTTTCGTTCATTGGTTTATTTTTATTGATTCACTGTGATTAGACTTTATGCCAAGGTTTGATGGAGTGAAACACGTAGGCATTAAGTAAACTCTGTATTCTTCTATCTGTCGGCGTTATCTAACCTGACATCAAAAAGTCCCTATTGGCCATCCAGACGACTCTCTTCTCTCCCAAGTCGTCTGCCCTGCGCATTTTAAGCTCATGCTAGCACTATAATATCTGTTGAACGCGCTGTCTCAAAATCATTTTACTGGTGATGGAACTCATCCTTGATTAGACCCGTGTTTTTATGTCGGACGGTAGGCGATGACGAAAAGACAGTTTCGTGTGTGTGGCTTCTCACTTTAGTGGTACTTTTTAGTCTAACAGTACATAAAAGACTTTTAGTGAGGATCCATCGGATTAGTGCTTTTTCTGCTCTGATGCTTAGTGCAATACCAACGACAGCGGTACTTGACGGGAATGCAACAGAGTCCTCAGATGGACGCACGTAAAACAAGTGAACGTGTAGAACTTCGTTAGAGTCTTAAATACAGGTCTCGGACACTCGAGAGGCGTCGATGTTCAAACCTTTTATTATTGAAATTATTCACCTTCCACACGTCAGTGAAGCAGCGCTAGCAGATGCCATCTCATGGTAGTCGGTGGCCAAGGTCGGGTTCATGTGGCATTTAATTCCACAGGATCCTGGAGCATATATACACCATTAGTTAGAAATTAGGGATTTAAAACTCTCCTAGGTGGACTATTTGTATCCACCAATCCAAGTTAAGCACCAGACACTATTTTCATCCTCTCACTTGTGTAAACTACACCCTCGCCACGAGAAGACAGTGAGTATGAAAAACTGGCTATAAACGCATGGCCATATCAGAGTAATTTGAAGGGTAGAATGGACTCCCCACCATCGGCCGTATCGAGGCATTAAGAGAAGTGGTCATCAAAATATTGTTGGGAATTATAGGCAATATCTTTTTAAATGGGTCCAGGTTGCATAAACTCCGCCTGTAGCTCCTCCAGGGGCTACTGCCGGTCCCAAGCCCGGGTAAAGGAGGAGGGTTGGGCATGGGGTTAGCGACCCCATCCCGTAGAAAATCAACTCGCTAAAAAAACGCTAACCAGAAAAATTCATTCAAACCATTCAAACTCTGCCCTGGGAGTAGAAGGAAAAATGACGTCTCATGATGAAAGCCGAGTTCCTTCGGAAGTCATGAGGCCGATGCACCTTCTTACAACCAGAGCGACAATTTTTATAGGTACATGGAATGTCCGGACAATGTGGGAGACCGGCAGAGTCTTCCAAATTTCTGCGGAAATGAGGAAATACAACCTGGAAGTGCTTGGAATCAGTGAAACACATTGGACGCAGGTTGGACAACAACGACTGTCTTCAGGGGAACTTCTGTTATACTCCGGTCATGAAGAAGAAAATGCCCCACATACACAAGGAGTGGCACTGATGCTGTCTAGAAAAGCACAAAATGCACTTATAGGATGGGAATCTCATGGACCAAGGATCATCAAAGCCTCCTTCAGAACAAAGAGAGAGGGCATTACAATGAACATCATCCAATGCTATGCGCCGACCAACGACTACGATGAAGACGCTAAAAACCAATTCTACGATAGGCTGCAGTCAATCTTCGAGAAGTGCCCAACCAAGGACCTGACCATTCTAATGGGAGATTTCAATGCCAAGGTTGGAAAGGACAACACTGGATACGAAGACGTCATGGGACAACATGGACTGGGAGAAAGGAACGAAAACGGTGAGAGATTTGCAAACCTATGTGCCTTCAATAAACTGGTCATAGGTGGCACCATATTCCCACACAAAAACATACACAAAGCCACTTGGATTTCACCGGATCACACTACACAGAATCAAATCGACCATGTCTGCATCAACAAAAAGTTCAGGAGGACGATGGAGGATGTGAGAACCAGAAGAGGAGCTGATATAGCATCCGATCACCATTTGCTGGTCGCCAAGATGAAACTAAAACTCAAGAAGCACTGGACAATTGGGCGGACAACATCACAAAAGTTTAATACGGCCTTTCTTCGAGATGCTGACAAACTCAACGAATTTAACATAGCCCTCAGCAACAGGTTCCAGGCCTTTCATAACCTACTCAATGAAGAGGGAACCACCATAGAGAGCAGCTGGAAAGGTATCAAGGAGGCAATCGTTTCAACATGTCAGGAGGTTCTGGGCCAAAAGAAGCACCATCACAAGGAATGGATCACTGTTGGTACACTGGATAAAATTGAAGCAAGGAGGAACAAGAAGGTAGCAATCAATATCAGCCGAACAAGAGCAGAAAAAGCCAAGGCACAAGCCGAATACACAGAGGCAAACAAGCAAGTGAAGAGGAGCATCAGGACCGACCGACGTAAATATGTGGAAGATTTAGCGATGACAGCGGAAAAGGCTGCAAGAGAGGGAAACATGAGACAACTGTATGATACAACAAAGAAACTTGCTGGAAATTACCGTCAACCAGAAAGACCAGTGAAAAACAAGGAAGGCAAAGTAATCAACGATATTGAAGAACAACGAAACAGGTGGGTAGAACACTTCAAAGAACTCTTGAATCGACCAGCTCCACTGAACCCACCCAACATCGAAGCAGCACCCACAGACCTCCCAATCGATATTGGCCCACCAACAATTGAAGAGACCAGCATGGCCATTAGACAAATCAAGAGTGGCAAAGCAGCGGGACCAGACAACATCCCGGCAGAGGCACTGAAAGCAAATGTAACAGCAACTGCCAAGATACTCCACATCCTCTTCGGTAAGATTTGGGACGAAGAACATGTACCAAAAGACTGGAAAGAAGGACTTCTCATCAAGATACCAAAGAAAGGCGATCTGAGCAAGTGCGACAACTACAGAGGCATCACTCTCCTCTCAATACCAGGAAAAGTCTTCAACAGAGTATTGTTAAACAGGATGAAGGATTTCGTGGACGCTCAACTTCGAGATCAACAAGCTGGATTTCGTAAGGATAGATCGTGCACAGATCAAATCGCAACTCTACGTATCATTGTGGAACAATCAATCGAATGGAATTCATCACTGTACATCAACTTCATCGACTACGAGAAGGCATTTGATAGCGTGGACAGGACGACACTGTGGAAGCTTCTTCGACACTACGGTGTGCCTGAGAAGATAGTAAATATCATACGGAACTCCTATGATGGACTAAACTGCCAAATCGTCCACGGAGGACAACTCACCGACTCGTTCGAGGTAAAGACCGGTGTTAGGCAAGGTTGCCTACTCTCACCCTTTCTCTTTCTCCTGGTGATCGACTGGATTATGAAGACGTCAACATCTGGAGGAAAGCACGGGATACAGTGGACAGGCAGGATGCAGCTTGACGATTTAGACTTCGCGGATGATCTGGCTCTTCTATCACAAACGCAACAACAAATGCAGGAGAAAACGACCAGTGTAGCAGCAGCCTCAGCAGCAGTAGGTCTCAATATAAACAAAGGGAAAAGCAAGACTCTCCGATATAATACAATATGCACCAATCCAATTACACTTGACGGAGAAGCTTTGGAGGATGTGGAAATCTTTACATATCTGGGCAGCATCATTGATGAACACGGTGGATCAGATGCAGATGTGAGGGCGAGGATCGGCAAAGCAAGAGCAGCATACCTACAACTGAAAAACATCTGGAGCTCAAAACAATTGTCAACCAACACCAAGGTTAGAATTTTCAATACAAATGTCAAGACAGTTCTTCTGTATGGGGCAGAGACGTGGAGAACTACGAAAGCCATTATCCAGAAGATACAAGTGTTTATTAACAGCTGTCTACGCAAGATACTTCGGATCCGATGGCCAGACACTATCAGCAACAAGTTACTGTGGGAGAGAACAAACCAGATTCCAGCGGAGGAAGAAATCAGGAAGAAGCGCTGGAAGTGGATTGGGCACACTTTGAGGAAATCACCCAATTGTGTCACAAGACAAGCCCTCACATGGAATCCTGAAGGTCGAAGGAGAAGAGGAAGACCAAAGAACACATTACGCCGAGAAATAGAGACAGACATGAGAAGAATGAACAAGAACTGGAAAGAACTAGAAAAGAAGGCCCAGGACAGAGTGGGTTGGAGAAAGCTGGTCGGCGGCCTATGCTCCATTGGGAGTAACAGGCGAAAGTAAGTAAGGTTGCATAAACATATTCTGCAGTATGAATATAGATTATCAGATAATGTTGAAAAAGCTTTTGGTTGTTTTTATGTCCGTTGAATAAAATAATAAACTACGCGTTATTGATATATATTACACAAAGTAACGAATCTCTTGAATTATACAGATATCTCTTGTTTTCGCCTCTCGTTTTAAATAAAAGATTAATGTTATTGGGTTTAATCTATATTGCGTTTAAACCCTTTCTATTAATAATAGATAGTACGTTCCAAATTATCGATATTATTAGTAAAAGCTGCACATTTTTGTCCTAAGTTATGCTTCTTTTTTTATAATTAAATATGGAAATTCATTCCTACTAATATATATTATATAGTCTGCTTATAAGTTCATCAATATTCTTATCATCAAGGCATAACTTGATTGGGTAAGAAAATCAGTCAAAAAACATTCTAATAATAATAATAATAACTGTTATCACTGTGTTTATAATATTTATTTTGCTTTTGTTTATTTTACTTTTCCTTTTCCATCCATAATCGTACTGAGATATTTATTTTATGTATTATTGTCATATCTCATTCTTATTTAATTTTACTAAAGGATAGTGATTAAAAATGTACAATATATTTCTTTTTAATTTCATGATAAAATAGTTCACATGAATCTCATCATAAGATAACAAACATCATTACTAACTGGGTTATTTCTTGTAAATTTTGTGAATCAACATCAGCATGTGGTTACCTTTTTTTATGTTTCCTACCTCTTCAATACAGTGCTAATGTACATGAATATTTTTCGTTTCATTTTGTTTGCATTTAAATTTGAAATGTTTTTTAGCTAAAAATAATAGTAAATTTCATTAAGATAATAAACCGATAAATGTTAGACCACTAATGAAAACCTGGGAGCATTGAAGTGCCGTTTCGTTCTGGTACGGGACTCCTTAGAACTGCACATCCATGAGTCCTCACGAAAGACTCAACCCCAGGACCTTCGATCTCGTGCTTAAACGCTTAACCTCTAAACCACGGAGTCAGCATCCGACGGTGTTAATGTCTAACGGACCATTGGAGCTAAACCGTGTCTAATGTGAGGTAGTTACCCACAGAAGACAATGGAAGATGGTTGCGCAGTATCGTGAATTGACCGAAGTTAGGCAATAACGCCGTCGGATGCCGACTCGGTGGTCTTTAGGTTAAGCGTTCGCACGCGAGACCGAGAGTCCTGGGTTCGAGTCTTGCATGCAAACTGTAGACAAGCACTGCTGTGGAGTCCCATACTAAGAAGAAATGGTCGTTCAGGGCTTTCAGGTTTTTAATGATGGTCTAACACTGACCGTTTCATTATCTCAATGTAATTCAGCAATCTGTAGAACTCCTCACTGATAATAACTAAATGCTTATTATCTATCCATTGCAGATTCATTTAACTATCGTTGTCTTTGAATTAACATCATTATTTATATGGCACAAAATGAGATGGGACATCTCGTAAACTATATAAATTGTACTCTAGCTGTCAGCCGCTACACCTTTAGTTAATGATTATTTATTTATTTAAACACATAAATATTGGTACAAGCAAGCACCAGATAAATATGCGCCTCACAAATCTCGTTTGATTTGTGTAAGGGCTGTGATACTGCCCAGGTGCCCAGACTGAAGCCGGTGGTTTTCTTAGGGGGCCACACCCGGAGCCTTTGACCTAAAGGTCTAGTCCACAAGGCAGTGGAGCATCGTAAGGAGATGCAGTCCCATGTTAGCCGGTGAACAACGATTGATTCGTACGCCATTTGTTCCCTCAGGATACTGGAGTCTATGTGCACCATTGGTTTAGAATCAGGGTTTTCCAAATTCCCTAGGTGGATCCTCAACATCCACCAACCCAGTTAAAGCGCCGGACATTCGCTTTTCGTCCTCTCACATTTGTGAACAACACCCCCGCCACGAGAAGGCAGTGAGTAGGACTTCCGTGGCAGAGGCTATATGCGCGTGGCCATGTAAGAGCATTTGGAGAGGGAGAGCGGACTCTCCCCACTCTCGACCGTACCAAGGCATTTGGGGGCTTAGTTAGTGATAATGTTAGGTTATATAGAACAAAATGTGTTTGAACTCCTGATTGTTGGTGTTGCGGTAGTTGGCTACTGTTATCATGGGTTTTACAGTTTAAGTATCAATTCTTGAAACGGGTCAACATTCTGAACTACATATGTCTAATGCTAATAAATGTTTCATGTAATCAAATGCTCCAGTACTTCTCACGAATACTTTTTATAAGATCAATTCTAAGTAATTATGTATGTTCATTAAATTAGAACAGTGATTCTTTAACATTTCGCGGCCTCCTGACAGTTACTTCTTTGAAAAATGAATAATGTGCAAATTTTCTGAAGTTTAAGAGGTGAATAGAAGAAACTGAATCATATTTATAGTTAATTAAGCCAAAACAGTTCACTGTTACTTATTGATTCTTATTTATGACCTTTTTACTTCATATAAGTAGTCTGTAATTTATGTAAGATGCATTGTTACCATATTTACATCGTGACAACACAAACGTTTCATCCGTGTAAACTAAATGTGTATTTTTTAAAGTGAAAACTGAATCCTTTCGTAGCCATTTCTGAATGCTACCTTTACAATATAACATTATCTTGTTGCTGTTTTTCATGTTTGTGTGTTGAAGTTCTTAAAATTTAAGTGTGATGAAGTTTTATGTTTATATTTTTTCCCACTTTCTATCCAACGCTGTTTACACACTATCAGTCATGAATTTTCTTATTTTGAAATTAACCAATGTCTTAGTTTTAAAGCTTGTTACACTAAAATCCTTGCATTCCATTTCTATGTAAGCATTTTGGTAGTATCTTGGTAATTGGGACTAAAGTCTACGTTACTTGCTTCTATCCATTTATCGCCTAAATACGCAGATGGAAATGTATGTTTATATTTTTACAAGAACTCGGGCAAAAAGTCAAACGTTTAAATCCCAAAGAAAATGCACGCCATAGTGATTACCGATACACATTATAGATTGATCAGATGAATAATAGTTTGCTCGATGTTTACAGTTCTAACCAATTACAGTTATTGTTCAGTTGTCATAAGACGTGAACTTTATGCTTCTTAATAATGCTAAGTAATATGTTCTGTACTTCAGCAGACTACCTTATCAAGTGCCAAAAGAATTCAATCAACAATATTATAAATGTATGCTTATATGTTGATTAAAAACAACTAGGTTGGTGCAGTTACAGGCACCACGTTCTGAATTAGTTTTTGGTAAACAATCGTATTTGTCAAATATTTGTTCTTAGGATGCGCATCCAACACTAAACGACAAATTCTCAATTTAGGACACTGTATCACAATAATTTCTGGCTTAGTAGTTGTGAATAAGATCAAGTTGCATGCAGTAAATCTTGTATCGTATCAACTTCGCCGTCTCCTTATGAAAATTCACAAACACATGCATGCAACTGCATTGCTTTCGTTTCTCTAATTGTACCGTGATATATGATTAATTCGACCAATACATATGATGGTGATATACATTATCCATTTATGTTTGCCAAAATTGTTAAAATTCCTGTACTAAGTAATTATACTTTTCTAGTCCCAACAATTGTAACCATCACTTCTTTGCGCTGTAGTCGTTACATGGCATCAGTACTTTTCCCTGTGAAATCAAAATATTTTGTCATACATTAGTTTAGATTTAACGTCTGTTCAACTCTTTATTTGTATGTAAAGTCAATAATATTCAGTATTTTCTTCATTTTGATGATATATATATATATATATATATATATATATATATATATATATATACATATATTTATGTCGTGGATGAAATCCATGTATTTAACGACTTTATTGCGAATAAGAAGACCTAACCAAACTTTTATTGTATGACAGTAAGATTTGGAGGGTTACGTACCCAACGATTATGTAAAGTAATTTCAATACTTGAGATCATGAGTCAATTGAGGCACTGGACGGCCGTTTCATCCTATTGTGGGACTCCTCATCAGTGCGCATCCACGATCCCGCCTCGCGAGATTCGAACCCAGGACCTATCGGTCTCGCGCTAAAGCTAAATAATGTTTGTAATTATATCTTATCCAGACATATATTTTTATGGTTTTTGTACTGATGAAATTTGGTATGGTAGTTGGTGTATCTTACTAACATAGTACTTTTTTATCTCAATAGTCTAACATCGGACATTAATCTTAAATTTCCATTCTTAAAATGATCATATTGTATTTAATACCCTATATCTTCACCTAACACAATATTCGATTCTTCATGTTCAATCAGCTGGATTTGACTGATATTTAAGTAAGAAGTAATCTAGTTCTTTCATTCATCTTGAATTTATCACTAACCTTCAAGTACTGTGATTTGTGTGCTTCCCAATATTTTTAGATTAATCATCGATGTGGGCAATCTTTTTAGATAGGTTGTTTTAAGTTTTGTTTTGGGGAGCTAATAGTTACCTTTAATGGTGGATTGCGTATTCAGACTATAACTTGGCTACTACTTCGTAAATTTTCATTTATTTTTGTTTTAGGCTTGCTGCACTCCGTCAATAAAACCTGTCAACCTCAGTGTTTTGTTGCTTCATCTGGTCAGTAATAATTTATTCTGATTATTTTCCATCGTTAACAGGTTACTCACAAGTTCATCTTTGTATTTTGCTCCTTCTAAACCTTAATTTCAAGGATATTTTTTCTCCGAAATTAGTTGTACAAGCCCAAATTGACCTATTTTTGTTTCATTTCGCAAAACGTTTATAAAATGATGCACCGTCAGATTTCTTGTATACCTTTGAAGAAATTATATAATTTGCATTGCTCGCTTATCACTGAAATGATTTTGTGAATAAAATCGACTATATGTCTAACACATTTACTAGTATTATTTATTAATTGTTACAATCATTTAATTTTACTTCCAGTGTAGTGTTTCTTTTTACCTAGTTCCACTAGTAGCGTTGTGTACAAATGAGCTCGTCTGTGGTTTCTTATTGTTGACTTATGAAACGACAATCAGTTGCAATGGCACAGGTGCGTCCATTCTGTCGCGTTTGAAAATTGCTGGTGGCAGGGAGTGAAGTAGTTTAGCGTGTCGACCGCTTTACCTATCTTGGCAGTCTCATCATCCCTTATGGTCTGGTGTGTGATGAAATCTCAGCACGGATACAGAAGGCTTATCTAGCTTTCACCAACTTGCGTCATTTGTGGCGTAGGCGAGATATCCATCTAGCAACCAAAGGACGGGTTCACTGCGCAGCAGTTCATTCCGTCCTACTTTATGACAGTGAAACATGGCCGGTAAGAGTAGAGGATATTCGTAGGCTACTAGTATTCGATCATAGGTGTCTTCGAAGCATTGCTCGTATATCCTGGGACCACCGAGTAAGTAATGCAGTTGTTAGGAAACGGGTACTAGGTAGGGATGGCAAATCGATTGACGAAGTAGTGAAACTTCATGAGTTGAGATGACTGGGACACGTGTTACGTATGCCCAATTACCGACTGCCCCAACGTGCTACGTTTTATGGTGTAGGAGTAGGTTGGAAGAAAGCTGGGGGCGGCCAGACCAAAACGTGGCACAAATGCATGAAGTCACTGACAATTGGACTGAGCCATGTTGGTAGGTGTAGACTGCCTGGTTGGGATCCGCGAGATGATAACAACTGATGGTTAGAGACGTTGAATGACATGGCTCAAAATCATTTGCAATGTCGAAGGTGCATCCACTCTTTGTGTTCTGCTAAATTCTAATCTTCTGAATTCATGTTCCTATCTTTTTTGTCTTTTCAAATTTATCTCCTGGGTTATATTCGTTGGACAACATCTTCAAACCTTAACCTTTCGGATTACTGCTTATACTCTTACTACTTCTACCACTATCGGATTTGAATCGACATCTGCATCTCTTTGGTCTTGTAGTGTGGCCTACTTATATCCGCATAAGTATTGTATGATGTAGGTCAGGCATAGAATGTATTTTGACAGAAAATCGATAGGGAAAGAACAGGAACGAAGCACATTCGGTATGCAAATGCATGAATAATGAAATCAGAAAAGATGGAATGGTATTTACAGAAGGAACAGTCAAGATTGAGACAATTGATTGTTATTTTGCAAATTAACTGTATGGTTATCAGATTTTAATGACATTGTTTGTAGTTCGTGCTTAAATGCATTCGATTGTCCCCACCCGTGTTCTTGTTCACCACAGTATAGCAGCCTGAACTGATGTACGTACAAAGTTCTACGTTGTTGTTGACTGACTGACTTGAAGATTGCCTCATAATCTCCTATTCCACGAATTAATTTTCGAATCATTTAGTCTCTTACTAATATTCTCTACTACCAGCGATATCACTACTTTTATCGTGATAATTTAATCGCTGTGTATTGATGTGGTGTTGCAACTCAAACTAACGTACATATGTGCCCCGTCCTACGTTACTGACTGGCTGGTGGATGAGTTGAGTATAGAACTGAAAGATTTCCATCTTCTTGGAAATAGTAGCCAACACTTTCAACTATGATGACTTACAGGTAAGAAAGTGTATGCTAGTGGGAACTTAAGAACAAAAATATGTGGATTTAAACTGCTCCATTCAATGATGCACATGATATCACGACAAAAGTAAACAGGACGAGCTAATAAAAAAGTGTAGCAGTCGTTTACTACCCAGGTACTGAGTGACCTGGTAACGAAATAACGCTTCTTATTCAAGGAAACGAACGAAATATTTACTTCCGGAAGTTTGCCTTTTTCAATGGGGACTGAAACTGTACAGTTTCAAGCCATAATAATGGCAATCGTCTGTTGCAGCTTTGCTCAGATAACCATTTATTTTTAGCAAACATCAATTTTGAACATAAGAAGTAACATCGTCTGACGTGGCGGCTTCCACGATCGACTCATTGATGGACTGGAATAAATCACAACGCTATTAGTTATCGTCGGAAGGGTTCGATAGAAAGGTCGTTTTGTTTTAGATTACATGTTTGACTCAGTTCATGCTCTAGTTTAAGGACGTATTTGTCTGGTTGGGGAAAATCAGCGGTCTACGGAACACATAGATACTCGGAAACTCATCCCATCTGGCTTCGAACATAATGAAAAGTGGATAAAGCGTAAGCTGATAAGAAAGTCTACGCAGTGGTCGTGAGCAGTAGTGGGTAGCGAAAGCAGAAGAGATGTAAAGGGCGGCAACAATAGGTGACAGTAAATAACTGTTTATGCTTATCAATGAAACGGGTATTAGAAATACGACTGCTATTGAAACTCTATCGTAAAAAGAAAGGACTATTGTTCACTCTCAATCCAGGAGTTTGACCGGAAGAGGAGAATTATTTAGGGAACAGTTTAACTGGTCTTCGGCCACATTTCAGTTACCCACTATCTACAAGCAACTTGAACGGCAAACTGATCTAAGTCCTCCATCTCATAGTGAGACTGAAAAAGTTATAAATAATCTATAGCAAGGGAGAGCAGCAGAGCCTGATGTATTATTTCTTGAGATCTTTAAGGATGGTGGTCCAGTTCTAGCAGCTAGACTAGCTGAAACCCTAGCTAAGATTTGGCAACTGAACGTAATACCGTCTGACTCGATCTCTGGTCCATAAGAAAGGATAAGAATCTTACGACGATCAGTTTAATTAACAGTGTCTAAAATATTAACCTCAACAATACTCCGTCAAACTAGAGCTCGAGAGGACCAGGTTGGTTCCAAACGTGAATGTATGGGCGGAATACACACCCTTCGGCAGTTTCTGGAAAGGACTGCCCAAAACAGGGGTTGCTGGAGAGTGATGGGTGGCCTCTGCTCCCCCACAGAGTAACAGGGATACGTAAGTAAGTAAGCAGTTTCTGGAACATAGACGTACGAATAAAATTGTATTCCTTGACTTCTAGGCAGTGTTTGGCTCTGTTGTACTATCTGTCATTGAAAAAATTACTAAAGAAGTACATTAACACATACTCTCTACGCAAACACTACTCGTCGAGTCAGAACTTATGGCGAACTCACATAAATTAGTTCCTTTAAGTGGAGTTCGGCTTCCTCGCCATTTCTATTTAAGTTTGCCATCGACACACTTTTAAAGATAACTTTCCAGAGATTGATCTGTCAGGAGATGCATTTTTGACTTATGAAACACAGAAGATATAGTTCTGTCTGAATACACTGAGAATATGCAGCCTTCTGACCACCTTAAACAAAAATGGAAGCATGTTTCGAATGCGGTCTCCCTCTTTTATATCTAAAGTGTTACTTCGAGAATGCCTTGCGTCATTGCCTGAATTAATGGTAGGCAGTGAAGTAGTTGAACGCACCGGCCGCTACTCCGATCTTGGAAGTCTCACCAGTCCTAGTCTGGTATCTGAAGGTTTTTCAGCACGGATTCAGGTTTGACTGGTTCTTGCCAACTCGCGTCAAGTAGTGCCTCTTGGTAAACTCCTTACTCCCTTGAAATCACGCTAGATACTAAGCAACTAATCTTTCATACTCAATTATCTGACTTCAGTATCGTGAATAGTTGCCGTACGACCTCATGGAGTAATTTTTGGCAAAACCCTCCAACTAAGCCGTATTTATTTATTTAAATACATAAACATTATTACAATGAGGCATCAGATAGATATACGCCACATAAACCACTCGACTTGTATGAGGGCTGGCATACTACCCGGAGCCTTTGACCTAAGGGTCTAATCCACAAGGGAGTGGAGCAACGGCAGGAAATGCGTTCCCACGGTAGCTGACCACCAATAATTGGTTCATACGCCATTTGTTTCCTCAGGATACTGTAGCCCATGTGCACCATTGGTTTTAAACCAAAGTTTTCCGACTCTGCTTCCACGAACTTGGTTAAAGCCCCACACATTCGCTTTTCGCCTTCTCAATTTTGTGAACAACATCCCTGCCATGAGAAGGCAGTGAGTAGGACTTCACTGGCAGTGTTTGTATGCACGTGTTCACTTGAGAGCTGACTCGCCACTCTCGGTCGTACCAGGGCATCCGGGAGCCGCATGTTACCACATGTTGGTTAACTGTTTTGGAGGGGCCTTTGATCGAATATTCGTACACAATATTAACCTGCTGGGGCTCTTGTTTACCACTATTTACAATTGCTAGCCTTCAGTTACTGGAACTAATCGGTTATTACAAATACTGCTTACTAATAAGTGTACCAGACTTTAAGCGACTCTCTATTAACTGGTATTCGACAATCCCTCAAACCCTTTAAAGGTCATGACTTGATATACGATGCCATCCATATGTTTACATAATTGTGCGTAGAAGATACCCACAACCCTTATTTGACCAGTTCTCAAGAACTTGAAACTTTTGACTCTGCTTAATTAAGATTACCACTCGCACTAACATTTCTCAGTTTAAATGCTAGCATACTACAACTAATCTTATACCAACTGCCAATCTGGCTTTATAACATGAGTGATAAGGTGACGAACAACTACCAATGTTTTGCGTAGACTGAATCCCGTACTACAGTAGCACAAAACACATGGAATTTGTGGTTAACCACTTGGAAAGGACATTTGATAACTACAAGACGACACTAGTGCATCAAAAATACCTCATAACAAACTGAGTACTAGAGTCGCTATGTTAGCGCATCCACAGCCCTAAATATCAAACCCCGAAAACCAAGTGCGCACAAAACCAATCACAATCTATAAATGTCGAAAAATAAATGCATCTCTACTCATATAAAAATATAGTTCGTTACATTAAAAATCTTCGTCAACAGAAAAGTTATGGGTTGATTCGCCTCTCGCTCGAGACATAACACCAGCCCGTTGATATTCACCAACTCGCTTCTCAAAGAAGTTAGTCTTCCCTTCGATTGATATGTTTTCCATGAAGTCAAAAGGATTGTCAGAATGATACATCTAAAAGGAAAACAATTAAATAGAAGATTTACAAACCTTTTCATAACCAAGTTCAACCAGTAGCCTGTCAGCGATAAATTCAATATACTGACACATCAGTTTGCAATTCATCCCAATTAAGCTGACTGGTAGGGCTTCGGATAAAAACTCCTGTTCTATCAGAACCGCCTCTCTTATTATTGACTCAACACGTTCTTTGGGAGGCTTTTTGATAATATGTTTAAACAATAGACAAGCGAAATCACAATGTAGTCCTTCGTCTCTACTGATTAATTCATTGCTAAAAGACAGTCCAGGCATAAGACCTCGTTTCTTAAGCCAGAATATAGCTGCAAAGCTACCAGAAAAAAAGACACCTTCCACTGCTGCAAAAGCAACTAAGCGTTCTGCAAAAGTAGATTTAGAATCACCAATCCAATCTAATGCCCACTGAGCCTTTTTAGCAACACAAGTTAAGTTGCTTATGGCGTTGAAGAGAAAGTCCCTTTCTTTAGAGTCTTTGATGTATGTATCAATTAATAAAGAGTACATTTCAGAGTGAATATTCTCGATAGCTATCTGCATTCCATAGAAACAACGAACCTCTGGAATCTGGACTTCTTGACTGAAGCGTTCCAGGAGGTTCTCGAGGACAATGCCGTCACTTGCCGCAAAGAAGGCTAACACGTAGGATATGAAATGACGTTCCCCAACTTTTAAAGACTCCCAATGTATGAGATCTTTGGATAAATCCACCTCTTCCACAGTCCAAAAAGAGGCTACAGCCTTCTTATAAAAATGCCAGACATCGTGGTATTCTATGGGGAAAAGGACGAAGCGGTGTGGGTTTGGTTTGAGTAAGGGTTCTAGTTCGATTTCGCTTTTCGTGACGGAGAACTGCTTGTCATAGCTGACTTTCTAAAAGTACTATAATTAAAAAAGTCGGATTACTTTCTCGACAATACCCGGTGTAAATTCTTTCTGCAATCAAAGAATCTTGTAAAAAATGGAGGGAAAACTCACAATATACTTAGACAGTTCATTCTCTTTATTTGAATCAGAAGTCATAATCAAATCCAAACTGAATCCGAGGCTGCTTTATTGCGCTCGACGTAGTCGATCTAAACAAGAAATGATCAATATATTATTCACTGATTAGCGATCGATGTCATTGTTATTTTCAAAATTATCTTTTTACAGCTATTAAAAAACACCGGGAAAAAAGCTCTGCGATATTGTGGTATTTGTACACGACAATGATTCCTTCTAACATCATTCAGCAACTGGTTTTAATTCCAAATCAATTACATTTGACTATAAACATATAGTTTTCTCTGACTTGAAAACCATCCCATACTTGAACACTGCGTTTTTAAGATGATTAAAAAAATGTTCACCTGAGCATTCTATTACCGAACCAGTGTTCAGTCTTGGACATCGCTCCTGTATTCTGGAAGTAAATAGAAAATATCTAGACGATTTGTGTAACAGAAAGGATAAGCTGAAAACCCCATAAAACTTTTTCATTGAGCAGTATCGTTGATCATTTGTCCCTTTTTCCTGTCATATATTTTAACTTTTGCTGAGGAAAGGAAGAAACTAAGAAAATAGAAATAAAGGTGACGCAAAATACGTAAACAGCTTAACACAGAACAAGAATAAACAACTATGTGTGTATCGCGAAGTGAGTAATAAAAGTAAAGTAAAGCAAAATAAATTAATAAGTGAATAACTCATTATTGCGGTAAGATATGGTGTTAAAATGAGTGTTTGTGCAGTCATAGTTTGGAGTGATGCTATGAAAGTCTCAATTAAGTGCAAAAGATAATCAATATGTATGAGTCCTATTTGCATAGTGAAGATAAAACGAGTCTGAGAAGTTGATTTAAGCGTAATACAAGTTATAGTCTTAACCAAAAACTTCGTAATCTTAAGAATAATTTTTATTTAGAGGGAAAAAAGGAGAGAGAGAGAGAAAAACGAAATTAGCACATAGTGGAAGGGTGCAACCATGATAATAATAGTGTAATGGATATAGACTTTTGAGATAAACCAATAATTTAAAAAAATAAAATAAATAAGGAAAATCAGAAAAACATAATAATAACAAACCTTTATTGCACTCGGATAAATACATGTAGATTTATGTAACAGTATACAGAGTGAAACCGGGTATTAGTATAACCATTAGTGCAATAATAATTTAGAATGGTGCTATCATAGTCACAATTAATTGCAAAGGATAATGAAATATAAATTTCTGTATTATATATACGTATATTGTGAAGATTAAAAAAATGGAAAAAGTTTTAGTGGTTGAAGATGTTTTTCATAAGACTTTAATTTTAGTCCCCGAACTGACTTCGTGGCTCGCTGTTAGATACGTTCCAGAGTGTCCTTATCCTTTAGGAGTGAGGGAGGAAGTACCTTGTTTCCGTACTCCAAATGAGGACAAATAAAACTGCTGAAGATTATGTGGAAAGTGTTACGGGAGAACTAAAGACATTTGGCTGATTAAAACCTTTTTACTGTACATCAAATTTACTGTGTTTTTTGGATGTGTTTGTTTTAATTAACCTTTGGACTTGTTTGTTTATATCATTACTTTCGGACATTTTGGTTTCTTTTGTCATTGGTTTGAAATTTGGGAGTTTTTGCTCCGGGAACCTACAAAATTGAAGGTTTGTTTTGTAATTGTTATAATTATTGTTGTTAGAACGACTTTGGTCGATTATTTGTGAATTGCGAATAAACTTGGTATCTTATTTGGAGTTTTGGTTCTCTTGCCTACTTGGGTTCGTAATTTGCGAATATCGACGGCCAGTACTTCAATAGTTGGAACGGGCAAAACTCATAATTGGACGTAACATAAAGTTCTTCAATTATTGGTTCTGTGTTCACTGGATTAGTCTGGACAGTAATTTGGGTCTAAATTCTGGTTCTCCTGAACGAAGGTGTACTATGGAAACTCGAAGCAAAAGACAGAAGGAAAACGACGAATTGGACGGTAAAATTTCCAGAGCTGTTTGTGGTATGTATGACGTTAACGATGATAAATGTGATGATATTAGTCATAATAGTATGTCCTCTAGCCAGCTAAGTACTTCTAGGTTAAAGTTAGACAAGGCATTACTGAGGAAAAAGAATTTAGAAAAGAGACTTGAGTTGGAACGGCAACTTAAGATGTTAGATCTTCAAGAAGAGGTTGATATGGCCGAATTAGAATGCAACGTCATCAAGGACGATGAACGATTGCCCGTAGATAAATGTGAAATAAATGCTAAAATAGAAAGATTATATAATCATGAGTTCGAGGATACAGACACGTCTCGTAATGGATATTCTGTCGAAGATAAAAGAGCTCTAGAAATAGTTAGTAATTCCTTTAAACTGGAAGGCGGCCATTTTCAAGTTGGTCTACCGTGGAAGTATGATAGGCCAAGTCTACCGAATAATTTGGAACTGGCTGAACGCAGACTAGAGTGTTTAAGGAAAAGGTTTATGAAAGATAATAGTCTTCTGCAGAAATATCAAGCTGTGATGAATAAACATATAAGTAAGGGCTACATCATTGAAGCTAGCAAGGAGGGATTTGACCGTGATGCTGTTTGTTGGTATATTCCTCATCATCCCGTTATCAACTCTAAAAAGCCTGGAAAACTCAGAATTGTTTTTGATTGTGCAGCTGTCTATCAAGGATTTTCTCTTAATGATCAACTTTTAAGAGGACCAAATACCGTTAATAGTTTATTTGGTGTGCTTCTACGATTCAGATTAGGTAACATAGCATTAGCCGCTGATGTCGAAGAGATGTTTCTTCAAGTAAGGATACCGAGACAAGATAGGGGAGCGTTTCGTCTATTGTGGTGGGAAGATGGTGATATGAAACCAACGGCTAAGGAATATTGTTTAACAGTTCATCCGTTTGGAGCCGTGTCCTCCCCTTTTTGCGCTAATTTCGCTCTTAAGAAGACGGTGGATATATTCGGTAAGGAATTTAATAGAGATATCCAGGAAGTCGTAGATAATAGTTTCTATGTCGACGACTATTTAGCCTCCATTGATAATGTACAGGATGCAATTGAGCTGGCAAAGACCCTTGGTTTGCTTCTCAGAGAAGGTGGGTTCAGACTTACGAAGTGGATAAGTAACTGTTTACAAGTTCTCGATTCAATTCATCCAGAAGAGAGAGCAGAAGCCGTAAGAGAGATTGACTTTGAAAGACTTCCTACGGAACGCACGCTGGGATTATTTTGGAATACTATGGTCGATTCGTTTGAATTTAAAGTCCACATACCGAAACGTCCCCTCACTAGGCGAGGTATATTATCGAGTGTAGCCTCACTTTACGACCCCTTGGGATTGTTAGCAGCGTTTATACTTCCCATGAAGCAGTTACTTCAACGTTTGGGTAAATTGGGACTAGGATGGGACGAAGAGATTCCAAATGATGAGAGCAAACGCTGGTTAGAGATTTTAAGTGAATTTCAGAGGGTTGAGAACGTTTATTTTCCACGTTGTGTATTGTTTCCGTAATCAGATCGTTCGCTCCTGGAACTTCATATTTTCAGTGATGCCTCGGAAAATGGATATGGGGCAGTGGCATACGTCCGCTCTTACATTTCTGACACTGAGGTATGTTCTCGTCTTGTTACGGCTAAGGCAAGAGTAGCCCCGTTAAAGGTCCAAACTATACCACGCTTGGATCTTACGGCAGCAGTTTTAGCAGCTCGCATGGGATTCCAGCTGCAGTCAGAATTAGATATTAAGTTTTCAGAGGTTAAATTTTGGACAGATTCCATGATTGTCTTGCACTATATTAGAAATGAGAAAAGCCAGTTTAAAACATTCATAGCAAATCGGATTTCGACTATTCATAGTCTTACTAAAGTGGACCAATGGAGATTCGTACCTTCTAAAGAAAACATAGCAGACTTCGCATCCAGAGGGGTTAAGTTTAACATCGATGGTGTCAAGGTATGGGAGGAGGGTCCAAGTTTTCTCAAGAAGCCGAAGGAGTGTTGGCCTGCTGTTGATATACAAGGTCCTGAACCCCACCTTTTGGAATTAAAGAAAACAATGTCCACGCATGTGATGATTGAAGAATCCACTGTCGATCTACTTATCAATTATTATTCAGATTGGACTAGATTACTTAAGGCTGTTGCATGGTTGACCCGATTTAAGCTATATTTATTGATAATGCGTTCTGGTAGAACAGATCTGTCTCTACAGATGGGTATGCTCAGAGTTGATGAGTTAAATTTAGCTTGTTTGAATCTAATTCGATATGTCCAACGCATACTATTTCGGAAAGAGATTGAAATGTTGGCGTCTGATACCATTAGCAAGGTGAAAATAACAAATTCACCGTTACGAACTTTAAATCCAATGATGATAAACGGATTATTATGTGTCGGTGGCCGACTTCAAATTAGTTCCTGGCCCGAGTCGAGGAAACATCCTATAATATTACCATCGAAGCATAAAGTTACAAATTTGATTCTACAGTATTATCATATTTTGGAAGGACATGTTGGGGCTACACAGGTAACGGCAACAGTTCGAGAAAAATTTTGGGTGCTGAGGGGTGGTGTAGCCATGAGGAGGGTAATAAAGGATTGTGTTTATTGTAAAAGAAGGAACGCCCGCCCCATCCAACAACTGATGGCACCACTACCTCCGAGCAGAATAGAAGATGGTGCCTATCCATTCCTATCAGTTGGTGTTGATTATTTTGGACCCATTATGGTTAAACATGGTAGAAGTATCGAAAAGAGATATGGTTGTGTATTCACATGTTTAAGGTTGAGAGCTGTGCATCTGGAAGTTGCATATAGTTTTACCACAGACTCATTTATCATGGCATTGATGAGGTTTATCAGCAGGAGAGGCTATCCGAAAGAGATATACAGTGATAATGGATCAAATCTGGTAGGGGCTGAACGCGAGCTAAGAAAATGTCTCCAGAATTGGGTGCAGGAACGTATACACTCTGATTTGCTAAGAAAAGGGATTGACTGGCATTTCAGTCCTCCGGCTGCCAGTCATTGGGGAGGAGTATGGGAGCGCATGATTCGCTCTGTACGAAGAGTATTGGATGCTCTTGTTAAGGAACAACCTTTAACAGATGAATGCCTTGAAACTTTCATGATAGAGGCTGAGCGTATAATTAACAATCGACCTTTGGTCCCGGTTACAGACGACTCGAGTGATCTCGACGCAATAACACCAGCAAAACTGTTACTAATGAGAGAGAACGTTACAGAACTTACTAACGTTCTATCTAATGACAGGTATTCTAAGAGATGGAAGCAAGCGAATTACTTAGCACAAGTTTTTTGGAGACGTTGGTCTAAGGAATATGTTTCGCTTTTGCAGCGTAGATACAAGTGGACCCAACTCGAGAGGAACATAAGGGAGGGTGACTTAGTAATGATATGTTCTGAGTTTTCCGAGAAAAACAAATGGCCCTTAGGTCTAGTACAGAGAGTGTTACCAAGTAAGGATGGATTAGTGAGACAGGTAGAGCTGAGGACAAGAAAAGGGATCCTAGTGAGAGATATTAGAAAACTGTGTCTTCTTGAAGCTATAGACGGTAGGTAGCTACTCGGATCCCTAGGCGTACTGGTGTAAGTCCTAGGGATCACGAGGTTGTTAGTGTGTTGAATGCTTGTTGTTGATTGTTTGTGATGTATATACTTCGCTTCCTGCTACCTATTTACTTGTCCGTGAAAAGAACTAAGGTTCTTTTGGTCGGGAGTGTTACGGGAGAACTAAAGACATTTGGCTGATTAAAACCTTTTTACTGTACATCAAATTTACTGTGTTTTTTGGATGTGTTTGTTTTAATTAACCTTTGGACTTGTTTGTTTATATCATTACTTTCGGACATTTTGGTTTCTTTTGTCATTGGTTTGAAATTTGGGAGTTTTTGCTCCGGGAACCTACAAAATTGAAGGTTTGTTTTGTAATTGTTATAATTATTGTTGTTAGAACGACTTTGGTCGATTATTTGTGAATTGCGAATAAACTTGGTATCTTATTTGGAGTTTTGGTTCTCTTGCCTACTTGGGTTCGTAATTTGCGAATATCGACGGCCAGTACTTCAATAGTTGGAACGGGCAAAACTCATAATTGGACGTAACAGAAAGTCCTTCCGTCGAACTGGCCGAAAATACGCTTTTTCAACTTGGAGTGCTTCAAGAGGGGAGTCGCCTAAGTTGTAGCTGTAGTCTGCGACATGCCTTAAATGAACTACTTTACACTTTGATGTGTTAAGGGCAAGTCTGTTGTCATCTGCCCAACTTTGAAGTCAAATCAAGTTGGTTATACAGGAATGACACCTCCTGACACCGTGCTGTTGGGGTGAAAAGAATTTTAAAGATTATAAATAGTCGTGTATAACGTCGCATATCAGAGACTCCATAATCTTTGAAAATATAGGGAGAAGAGCCACCGGCCAGCTTCCAAATTTCCGGTAGTTTGTATCGGCATAGCGAGTGTGAGAACATCATACTAAGTGGTGTTGCCAGGATTGAAGCTGCTCCCTTCAGTATAGCAGGATAAACCTTGTCTGGATCAGGGGACGTGTCTTTTTATGGGTGCTGCAGTTTTCGGTACACCAAGTCAGCGCTCAGGTTTACTTCGGAAAGTCCTGTGCAGTCGCAGATGGAGCTTTCATCAGTATAGTTGATGTGGTTCCGTCGAAATGTCGGAGAGTATTGTTCAGTCAAAAAGTTAGTGGCGTCACCGTCGTTATTGGTTGGAACATTAGGACTTAACAGTTGGTAAACTCCACTTTTGGCTTGTCGAAGAGAGACTGCATAACAGAATAAGGGTTTGGGAATTGAGAAAAGATTAACCGACAAGCTTTATCTGGTACTGAAGCCTATCTTCTCGTATTGCCTTTGTGCATATGTTCCTTATATGTTTGAGTTGCCCGTACGCGCCCTTGTTATCAGTTCGTTTGTATTCTGCACAACAATGGCTTTTGCGGTTTAGCAATCGAAGAGTGTGGTTCTTGATGACTGCAGGTTGCTTGTTGATTTTGGGGACCATTCGATGAGTCAACTGCTTTTTAGCACATAAGAGGGTGTGCAGTAGAAAATTTTTTATGAGCATTCACTTCAAGTTGAGGGTAAACATCTCAATCCACCTGTTGCAGATAGTCCTGTGAAACTGACACATTCAAACATTTGAAATTCCAGCACCTGCTGTTGGTGGGATGTCTTAGCCCAGTTCTGTTGATGAAACCAAGGGCCATGACGAGGCAACCTCTTTTCTCTAGGAGAGTTAGGGTTGAGAGGTTTCCACTTAAGAACTCTTCGTTCGTAAATACCCGTTCTAACCGCGATGGCGTCTGACTGATTCTCCAACGAGTTGCTCACTTCACATCTTCGAACAATCTAGGATCCTCAATGAGGTTGAGGAACCAAGCTCCAGTTGAGTTTTCACCTCCAATAAACGTATGTTCCACAAAGTTGACTCCGAGAAGATTGAAGTCACCTGGAATCAAGATATGAGTGGATCCGAGAAGATTAGATCGGTTAATTCTTCCAGCATACGAGTGTCGTACTCAATGTCAGTAGTGGGTGAGTCAGTAGTTGATGACTACAATTATACGCCTCGAGATGGTAGACAGCCTTACTGAGCACCGTATGGATTCATCAAGATTGCAAAACTCTTGTTTGTGCACTTGATGTTCCTCTAGGCAAAATCGCAAGTATAAGGATACTCCACCCGAAAACCTTGTTTTTCCGTCATTGTGAAACAAAGACATACCGGATATTGCTAGCTCCTGGTCCGTAACCTGAGAAGATATCCAAGTTTCATATATTCCCATCAGGTGAGCATAATCAGCATTACCGAGTTCACGCAGCTCATCCATTTCATTTGGTAAACTCGCGGCGTTCATGTATAGGCAGTTTATGCTTTCAGTTTGAAACTCGTAAGCTTCCCCGTCCTGTTTATCTGTACAAGCCTTATGTGAATGGATGGATAGCCTACCTATACAAGATTTTCCGGGCTGGTAGCCTCTGTCCATTCCACGTTCTATTTATGATCTAGACAGTCCACAAGCAGAATGGTCAACTTCAACTTGCTTTTGTACTTGTTACTGGCGTCATGTGGCCTATCTAGATGCATATTGATTACAGTTGGCAGCTGGCGTCTATTGGCACGAAATGCTCCCAGAGTTACAGCCACCATATGGGGGGATGGGAAGTTTGTCTTCATCAACCGACGTCTAGAACCTCTAGCTTTCTTGACCAGTCTCACCACTTTGTGAGTCAACATGTTTTCGAACTTCAGGGACTGCTTGATGGATTTCCATCCCCGAATATCTGAGTTTGTGCGGTCAGGGTCCGTGTTTTCGGCTACACCTTACAAAATGATATTTTTCCGCGGAAAAACTTCTCGCGAGCTTCCTCGGGGATGTTCCGGATGAGATTGGGCTCAGAATACGGTATAATAATAATCCATTCTCAAATAACAGTTTGTTACATGAGGCACGCCGGTTTATAGGCAAGATCAACTTGTTACAGAAGTTACAATTTTCACTGTAGAAAATTACTCAGCTGGGTTGATATTTTATAAGATATGAATGTAAATGGATTTCGTAAGAAACGTGTTGTCAATATCACAATTGGCGAACTTTATGAAGGTAGCGTTGCAACATACAGCTGATGGCCGAGAATAGATAAATGCGAAGTTGAGGGCTCTTAGAAGCTTCAAAATTATATCCCTCCGGAATATCCGAGGCTTTAATAACGGTCTACGAAGAAGTCACCCGTGCCATATCTGTCTTCGGTGGGGTATCTCCAGGGGACTGAAAAAGGTGTAAGAAAAAGGAAGGACGAAACGCAGAGCACACAATATTCATGGAGGAATAGTTAAGGTATCACCATTTAGTCTACTTGTCTGTTACTGAAGTACTTTTTAAGCAACAGCGTACTAATGTGTTAAAGAAAATAAGTGTGAACAAGGCATGAACGGATAAAGAGCTGTATAAATGAAGATAGTTCAGAAAGAAGCTGAAAGTATGGAATTATGTCTAATTGTAAAATATAGTGCTGTAAACAGTATTCTAATACAAATGGTTGTCTCCCTTTGTTTTCGAAACTATTTGAACCCTTTATTGTCTTCAGATTTTATAGGGTATGGAGTGGGTTTCGTCTTTAGCGGATTGTCTATTTTACTTTTAATAAGATTACTCGGAAGGAAGTGGAACCGATTCAGCGTTTTAAACACGATTTAAAGAGGCATTTTGCATAAATAAGTTTGCATCAACACCGTTGATTCGTGATATCTCACTTGAAGTAAGGAGTCGTAAACAGATGTTAAAAAAATATAGGGAGTGAATAACCCTTCCAGAGGGAGCGATAACATAAGAAGTGTGTCTAAATTCTCTCTTAACACTAACTTCATAGTGAACAAAATTGAGGGGTAAGTATCAATTTCTAATAGGAAACCAAGTTAGACAGCAAACCTTTACAGTTACGTTCAAGCTACCAACTAAAGAAAACTGTTGGCAGGAAAACAATTACGCATGATTTGAAAGATAATTCCCTTGAATATTCACTGTAATTTAACTTAAACATATCTGTGTTTGGTGACGCCAACCCTCTGAAAGAACAGTACTTCCGGACATTTCAACTGTTCCGTACTAACCATATGGGGAGAGCTTCATCCGCAATTCAACAGAACTCTCAGAAGGAAACGTGAGTGCTGACTTGTTGTATAATGAGCTGAAGCACCTAAACAAGGACACTTCTCCTGGCTGGGATGTAGTTCACTCTGCTATATTGTAGGAAGCGGCTTCAATATTGTCATAAACTCTTAGAATAATTTTCTGACATTTACTACGACGAGGCACGGTACTGGAAAAGTAGAGGCTGACTCACACACATTTTCATAATTGGTCAACGCAGTAAACCTTCAAGCTACCGACCGGCAGCACTTTTGTCGTTGCCCTAAAAAATTATGGAGTCTCAGATATGCTGTTCAGTACTCAAACATCTCTTCTTGATTAGCATTGCAGGGCAGGTGAAGTGTCACCGAGCCCTAGCCAAGTCATCCGGCAGTCGGGTCACTAAATATCAAACAAATCATCGATCAACGTCAAGGTCAAAGACAACCAACGCTCGTCAGTTGGTAGTATAACGTGGACTGGCGCATGAAGTGGTGGTCCCGCTAGTTTCTCTGTACTCATTCTTGCTAATACATTTTCATAATAACGTCTTTTGTGTTATACGATCTTCAAAGAAGCCTTAGTACTTTGATACGTCGTAGGGGTAGTCCAAGTAAGATGCTGAACGCGAGGTGTGACTTCGAAGTTATATAGTTCGTTGTACCATTCCCGTCTAACATGGGCAGACCTCCAACCATTTGACATAGATCCTCTTCGTAGGTGATCTACAGTATAAATGGTCTTGGTTAACAAATATAGTCTTATTCACTGCTTTCCTCTGAGAGTGTGGAGATTTGGAAAGAAGTTTGTAACCAACGTGATGAGCTGTCACTTTAGGAGAATTTGACTTCAAGGTTGGGCAGATGACAACAGACTTGCCCTTAACACATCAAAGTGTAAAGTAGTCCATTTAAGGCATGTCGCAGACTACAGCTACAACTTAGGCGACTCCCCTCTTGAAGCACTCCAAGTTGAAAAAGCGTATTTTCGGCCAGTTCGACGGAAGGACCTTCCACATAATCTTCAGCAGTTTTATTTGTCCTCATTTGGAGTACGGAAACAAGGTACTTCCTCCCTCACTCCTAAAGGATAAGGACACTCTGGAACGTATCTAACAGCGAGCCACGAAGTCAGTTCGGGGACTAAAATTAAAGTCTTATGAAAAACACCTTCAACCATTAAACCTTTGTCCATTAGAGTGGAGGCGTCTCAGAGGCGACTTTCCAATGACTCGCAGCATCATAAACACTCTGGGATATATGTTTAACTACGTGCTTGGGCTTAGTTCCAACACAAACCCTAGGTTCAGAACCCAGGAACTGGCGACACAACACAGCGAAACGGACTGTATACACACCTTCTACTTCTTAAGATTAGTCAAATGCTGGAATTCGCTGCCGCCTGAGCTAGTTTAGGTGGAAACGTGACCTATTCTTAAGGACTAACGACAACAGCATATTATGATTTGCCAATTTCTTTTTCCCCTTTTATCGATAATTTACCTAGGTTCCTGTCTGGAGGTTTGGCGGTCCACTGCTATTAGACACGGATGCCCGTTAAGCGAAAGCTTCTTCTATTCCGTCCACAACTATTTGAAAACATTTGGATTGGTTTTGGATGGCCACCCTACTTTCAGCGGGTTTTATAATATTCTAGGTCGTTAACTGGTCCTGGCGCTACCTGGTATACAATGACGGGGATTAGGAGTATGTTACTTTTCAACTGATATCATTCCTCGAAACTTTAAAGCCGTAATTCTTGTTTCACTAGCTGGATCAGTTTCTTTCACATTCTTACTCTTAGCTTGCGCGCTACCGCAATACAAGTAACATAATTAATTGGAAGTTTAATCGTGTTTAGTGTTTGGTGGCCACTATTCATGCTGATATTTTACATAATAGCACCAATTCCATTGTTGGTTGCTAAAAATTTCCAGGAAAGCCCTTCGTTGGGGGATGTGAATGTTTTCCTGACCACAATCATAATAGTATCAGCATATGCACTACCTATATTGTTTGCTCGAGCACCTAAAAAAAATCCTCTCGTAAGTTTCAAAGCAAAGAGTTATTCGCTTCTTGTAGATATTATGGGGTGCTTGTGGACTTACGTTATCAGCAAATACACTTATGTTTGCAACCATCTTTTTCCTAGTTTATTTGGTAGTCAAGTCTGATGATTTCGACAGTGGATTTTGATTTCGAACAGTAAATATCTCCCAAATTTTGATTTAATTTTAATGTAGTAACTGTGTATTATCTTATGGAAGCATCTGTTACTAAATTCGCGTCATATAAGATGTTATTTTGCTTTCTATTTATTATGTATATTTTTCATTTCAATAAATCCTCCCCAAAAAAGGGAAAAACTTTTTTGTTTAAGGATGTTTTAGGAAGTTATTTCCTGAAGGTGACATACTATCTATCTCACTTTCACTTTAGGCTTTGATTTATATGTGCAATAAGATGTTGATAAACTAATAATTTTAATCTTTGGAGACATTCTGGATTCTGTTGAATCGGGGGATACTAACTGAATAGAGCGGTCGTTTTTATACAGGCACGGCTATCTAACACTAGTCTGACGTAGTATATGAAGCTTTTTGATTTTCTTCTTCAGCGACCAGTCTTGTTATGCAGTTAGATAGATGTTTCTAAGTCTGATTTCGCTCCGACTGTGTTACAAAATTATGAGGTGTCAGATCTGTTCTTCGAAGGGATTCACCTCAGATAACCTGAAGAGTTCTCATGTGATTAACTCTCGTTTAAACTCTCTCATTTAAATAGACATATGCAAAATAGTTCTAAGCTTTGGTGCAAGACGGATTCCTTTTTTCAAATTCCGAATGAGGTTTGGGGTTTTTCGTCCCACGAGTACAACTGTCAGTTGATTGGTTAGCATTGGTACACCAGAAGGTTTATGAGCTAGGTTTTCTGGAAACAGAAGTTTTCCCTTTAATCTTGGAAGCGATGGTGTTAATGAAAAAATTATTGGTCGTCTAAATTTTACTTATCTGAATTAGATATCCGCCTCAGGATTAAAAATTATCAGTGCCTAAAAAATCGTGGTAAAGCTGATTATATTCATGATCGAAAAACAATTAAAACTAAGGTGCTAAGCTTAGTCCATGACAAAATAACTGAACACTATACATACCATAGATCGGACTCAATGAACTCTAAAATCCATGCTGTACGCAACCCCGACCGTTGCTGCTACCTTGACGTGGTGGTCGGGCTTGTCTGTCGTGATGAACCAATCGAGCTATACTGGCTGAAACAATCGTTCCTCAAGGTTCTACCATGCCAGACAGGTCGGTTGAAGAGCGGTGAGGCTAAAAGCAGCAAACCCAAGGTCCGAAGTCGTATTGCTGACTGTACAGAGGTGACGGTAGTAAGGTGTTTCCTTCAGACAACCAGCATGACAGCGATACTGCCTTCCCACAAGGAGGGGTGGAGTTAGAAAAGGTCGACCCTAAAAATGCACACCTCGCCTTATCCCACGGATATCCGTTACCGGCGGTAAGGTCCTCTGAAGAACGGAGCTAACACAAAAACTACCCACAAAAAGGTCGTGTGTGAACGACCTCAAGCAGTTGTCCCATGGGCACTGCGGTCACGCTCTCAGGTCATTAAGACTACTTCTAACCCAATTTTCTTTTCAGGTACCCCTAGAAGAACCCTTCCACGGTGTGGGCAACCGGGAAGTGATAACTGCCCTCATACCTCTAACAGCACTCAAGACCACTGTATTCATAATCAATCTCTTTCAATTCCTTCTACCTTGGCTTTCAACACTAAACTTCCTCTTTCGGTTTCCTCCTCAAGTGTCACCATGGCCAACGATTCTAGTGCGCGAAACGCTGTCCCAGATCTACTAAAACCTCGCTCCAAACTACACATTGGAGCCTTCAACGTACGTACCCTAAGTCAAATCGGTCAACAGGCCTCCTTAGCTAAAACCTTAGAATCTCGTACCATTGATGTATGCTGTGTCTCCGAAACACGCATACAGGATCCTAGTGTGGTCATTCACTTGACCTCACCTCGCCAAAATGGACAGCCAACGAAATACACCCTCTGTGTATCTGGCGTCCCGTTGACTAGTTCTCGTGGACTTGCAGGTGTAGGCATAGCACTAAGTACAAGGGCAGAACAGGCACTATTAGAATGGATCCCCGTTAACAGTCGCCTGTGTGCTGTCCGGCCAAATGGTTCCGTAAGAACTCGGAAGGATAGGGACACACGTCGTTGCCTTTTCGTCGTTTCTGCCTACGCTCCCACTGACTGCAGCCATGATGAAGTAAAAGATGACTTTTACAGAAAACTCTCTGAGCTTCTTCAGAAAGCTAAGCGCTCAGACATAGTAGTCGTAGCGGTTGACTTTAATGCCCAGGTAGGCAGCTTAAATCAAACAGAAAGACATTTAGGTGGGTGTTTTAGTATTCCGGCTCAACGAACCGATAATGGTGATCGTCTGTTGCAACTATGCTCAGACAATCGTTTATTTTTAGCAAGCACTAATTTTAAGCATAAGGAGAGACATCGTTTAACATGGCGACCACCTGCACCAAACCAACGATGGACTCAAATAGACCATATTGTCATCAGTCATCGTTGGAGAGGCTCAATAGAAGATTGTCGCTCGTATTGGAATACTTGTTTAGACTCTGATCACGCTTTAATACGAGCGCGCATTTGTCTGCGCCTCAATGGACGCAGGAAAAGTACACTAAGAAGACCCATTAGGATTGAACTGGAGGACGAGAAAGCCAAATGCGAATTCCAGAAACAACTGAGTTCACATCTAGGCAGTTCTGTAAACGAGACTGACCCAGATGCTGCTTCGAAAGACATACGAACAGCTGTGGAAACAGCAGTAACGTCTATTAGTTATTTAAACCATAGGGCTCCAAAAAACCAGTGGATTTTTTCTAAGTCTATTTCACTGATGGATTCGCGTAAACTCATCCCATCAGGCTCTGAACACGACGAAGAGCGTAAACAAATTAGATCTAGGTTAACTAAAAGTCTAAGGAACGATCGTGAACAGTGGTGGGCAACGAAAGCAAAAGAGATGGAAAAGGCAGCGGCTGTAGGCAACACCAGGCAACTCTTCAGACTAATAAAAGAAACCGGAATTAAGAAGTCAAGTGTAAGTGAGACGATCTCGGAAAAAGATGGAACCCTTATCTGCTCTCAACCCAAACGTTTAGAACGATGGGCGGAACACTTTAAGGAGCAGTTTAGCTGGCCTTCAGCCACTGCACAACTACCCACTATTCCCAGAAAATCTGAATGGAACATTGAAATAGGCCCCCCGACCCTACTTGAAGTTCAAAAGACTATAACTAATCTGAAACGAGGAAGAGCAGCTGGTCCAGATGGATTGGCTCCAGAGGTCTTTAAATATGGTGGTCCAATTTTAGCGATTAGGTTGACTAATATTCTGGCTAAAATATGGGAGACGGACGTAATCCCATCTGACTGGTCACAATCTCTGATTGTCACAATATATAAGAAGGTGTCAAAATCATCCTGTGATAACCATAGAGGGATTAGTCTGACTAACATAGCATCTAAAATACTAGCCTCAATAATTATCGGGCGGCTAACTAAGACTCGTGAACTGCAAACACGAGAAAATCAGGCTGGCTTCAGACCTGGTCGTGGCTGAATCGACCACATATTCACCATTCGTCAAGTTTTAGAGCACAGACATGCTTATCGGCGTCCGACAGTGATAGTTTTTCTTGACTTAAAAGCAGCATTTGACTCTGTAGACCGAGAGATTCTGTGGCAGTGTCTGTCATTAAAAGGTGTACCTGAGAAGTACATAAACCTTGTGAAGGTTCTTTACTCGAACACTACCAGTCGAGTGAGAGCTTATGGCGAACTGTCATATGATTTTGCAACCTCAAGTGGTGTCCGTCAAGGCTGTCCACTATCCCAGTTTTTGTTTAACTTCATTATAGACCTATTGCTGGAAATAATACTCTCGTCGACTGAATTTCCAGGAATTGATCTCCTACCAGGAGGTCCACTTATCGACCTAGAATACACAAATGACATAGTCCTGTTTGGTGAAGACGCTGACAAAATGCAGAGTCTTCTGTTGGAACTCAGTAATAATGCCAGAATGTTTGGGATGCGTTTCTCCCCATCCAAATGTAAATTATTACTCCAGGACTGGCCTGTGTCAACACCTGAACTAAGGATAGGGAATGAAGTAGTCGAACACGTCGACAACTTCACTTATCTTAGAATTCTGATCAGCCCTAATGGGTTGGTGTCTGACGAAATCTCAGCACGGATTCAAAAAGCTCGTTTGGCATTTGCCAACTTACGACACCTATGGCGAAGACGAGATATCCGTCTATCAATTAAGGGACGAGTATACTGCGCAGCAGTTCGTTCTGTTCTACTTTACGGCTGGGAAACATGGCCATTAAGAGTAGAAGATACTCGCAAGTTGCTAGTATTTGACCACAAATGTCTTAGAAATATTGCTCGCATCTGCTGGGATAACCGGGTAAGTAATAGTGAGGTTAGACGCAGAGTATTAGGGAATGATGGTAAATCAGTTGATGAGGTCATGAATCTTCATCGACTGAGATGGTTGGGCCACGTGTTACGTATGCCTGAACATCGATTACCACGACGCGCAATGTTGACTAGTGTAGGGGATGGTTGGAAGAGAGTTAGGAGCGGCCAAACCAAAACATGGCATCAGTGGTTGAAGTCACTAACTTCTAGTCTGAGCCATGTTGGTAGATGCAGACTACCTGGTTGGGGTCCACGTGACTATCGTAATCAATGGTTGGAGACTCTATGTGACATGGCTCAGAATCGATCACAATGGCGTAGGTGTATACACTCTTTATCTTCCCTTAAACCTTGAGATTAAAATTGCTTCATAACTTTTTTCCTTCTTATACTATATCCTTACATACAGCCTTTCTTTTTATACCACCACCACTAAATTAATTACTTCTATGAATCCGGTGTTCATCTCGTTGTGCTAACGAGGTATGGCAATTTGGGCCGATGTATATATGTGCCTGATCCCACGTTGTAGCTGACTGACTGACTGTATGCAACTGAAAAACCTCTGTATCCTTAAATCACCAAGTTTCACTTTAATTTTCTGAAATATCTGGTAATGATCCGAGCGGAATCAGCTAAATATTTATGGATAG